CTGGGCCAAAACCCCGTTATATTATAGCGCCCAACAACACATGGGTTTGATATCTTTTACGAAAACTACGAAATTCGAATTATAATTGTATAGCGAAAGCGCGTGTTCGTGGAATCCACCGAGGAATGCGACGCGCGCGACGAGAAAAGAATTGTTTACGCTTAGAAGCTAGCCGTAGCGCACGACTTAAACAAGGCTCTCGGTTTTCAGCACCTTAAAATTTTAACATAGCGTGCGAGCGAGAGTTGTAATTCTTCGTATTTAGAAACGTACGTGTACAAGCATAACAACATTCATTTTCCGTTGTGCGTGCTGGTAACAATCAGGCGTATTTGCTTAAAAATTGTTATGCGGCCTACAATTCATATCCACTATTTCAGGATATTCCAAAACTATTGTTTTTCGTTATCAGTTTTGTAGAAAAAAAAAATTAAAAATGGCCGAAAAAGATATAACCGACCTAACAATTATAAAAGAAAAAATCGACAACCACATTAAAGAATGGATTAAGAGTTTGCCAAGTGATAGAATAGATAACGTTTTGGAAAATCTTGAACTCGTGGCAGACGGCACGATGTACGAACGCGCGAATCGCTTATATAGACGACTGCAAGGTGACTACGAAGAAAAAGACTTCATACAAACTTTAGACGCGTGGGACCACGAAACGATAACACGGCGCAATAATCTTTGTCTCACTTTTAAAAAATCAGACGCGTTACCGCGAGAATTGCGCGAAGACCTCGTTAACGCCGTTAATCAAGACACAGAAGAAGATATGATAAATAATCAAGAAATAGAAGAAACGAACAACGGCGACATGTCGCTCACGACAGCTAATACACACGAGACACTTACGCGAGACGCGGTACGCACATATACACCGACGTTCGCGGTAATTACGAGCGCCCACGTGCCGACATCGCAGTCAACACCGCCGTGCACAGTATCAGTAGCAAACGTAGGCTCAAGTGAACCACGTCATGCCAACACGAACACAACATGCGCGCACGAAGCACCGATACCTACAACAGGCACCCCAAGTACGATAAATTATCGTGAAGACCTCGTATGGGTTAACCTGCCTTGCGGTGAACCAAAACAAATGCCACGTTTAGCAGCCGAGGAGCTAAAACAAGCAGTGATAGCGGAACGGACACAGGCTCAACAAATTCTTGTTCTTCAAAATTGTTTAAAAACTATGTCGAACGAACACGACAAGCTGATAAGATAAAATAAAGATCTGAAGACCGCGAACAATAACCTCCTCGCCAGACTACAAGCAGCAGAAGTAACAGTTCAACAACAAAACGAGTGCACACGGTTTAACGCGACTCGCGCAGATAAAACTGTCAACTTTCGCGACACGTATAGCCACATCGATCCGGACTTTGACCTGACTGTAGCCAGTCCGAATCTAAATTCCCACGCACGAATCTTCTGCTCGACAACGAAGCAGCAGATGACACAATACGCGACAGGGCCAACAGTATATTCAGCCGCACCAGTGAGACCGGCCGACAGGATGCAAGCGGCCACGCGATTACCGAAAGCGGAGTTCGCGATCCCCCACATCCCCGCAAGCTCGAGCTGGGGAAGAGGGTCACACCTTCAAGTCGTCCGCTCTCGCAAGCGAATGGCGCGCAGCAAACGGCTGTCGCGCAAGCCCAAATGCCTTCAAGCTTCGGTGTCCCCAATTGGCGATCGAGTCCACTTCTCGCTACCTCCCGCTCGATGAGCTCAACTAGGAATCTAGGGAAAACCATCAGGGAATGGAAGATTTCTTTTGCGAGAGACGGCAACATCAGCATCGAGGAATTTTTGGAGCGTGTGGAGGAAAACTGCTGCCTAGACCGAATAGCGGAAGACGAGCTTTTAGACTCGTTATCCACCCTGTTTCACGGATCCGTGCTTCGATGGTACCGCTTGCTGCGGCCCACGTGGGCGTCATATGAGCAGTTCAGGGATGCCTCGCTATCCACCTATAGTAAATCTAGGAAGTATAACCACATATCGGTTGAAGCGCATCTGCGGACACAGGGCCCCGATGAACCGGTCCGTGATTACCTCGCAGCGCTGAATACTATTTTTAGCCGCTTCGAAAGACCGTGGAGCATCGCAGACCAGATCAATTTGGCAATCGATAATATGTTGCCTAAATTGAAGAAAGAGTTGAAAAAGACTCAGAACTATTTCACGTCGTTGCCGTAGTTGTTAGCTAAAGCAATGGAAGTAGAGATCGCGGAGTCCGACGAGCATTGGAAAGCTCCCCCCTCCGCGGAACAGAGCATGCTGCCCGACGCGGCATACCAGCCTAGGGTTAAAGCACCGGCGAAGGCCAAAGCGAGCATCGCGTCTGTGGTAGAAAAGTCCCCTTTCTCCGAGGCCGACTTCGAGAAATCTTTCCAAAAGTTTTTCGATAAAAAGTGGCAGCAACTGGCAGCGGCTAAGAAAGGGCTTCCAGCCCCCCCATAAGAGTGCACTACAGGAGTCTGTCTCTGCCAGCTCCTCGAAGGATGACAAACCTCCGGCTCAGCCGCGTCAACGCGAGGGAAGACGGGGAAGGGTAAACGGCCGTGGCCGTCCGGCAAGAACCGGTCGGGCCCAAGTCATCACTCCCAAGTCATCACTCCCAAGTCGGACAAAAACAAGAGCAAGCCTCCCGGCCCTAATGCTGAGAGATTACTCTGTTGGGACTGCAGCTGGCCTAGGTACACCAAAGCCACCTGTCCCGAGTGCTCAAAAATCGAGGCGCCAAAAAACGTGGAGAGGAACGCGTAGATGGGGTCCCTACCGTTCCGATGGCGACCCGGACCTTCGCTGCGAAGGTCCGGGTATGCCCCCGTAGGAGAAGCGCCAACGCGTTCCGATAGTTTTGCGGCGAGTGCGTTGGTAGAGAAGTACCCCAGATGGTGGCTGACGCTTAGCATCGGTCCATTTACCTGCAGGGCTCTGTACGACACTGGAGCCTCGCGCACCGTTTTGAGCCCCATTGCCCTTCAGATTGCTGCCGCGATGAACAAGTGCGTCAACATGTATGTGGGGCCCGGGGCGAAATCAGTCGATGGTCATTATGTCCCTATCATTGGTAATGTACAGTTACCCTTTACGATAGGTGGTGTTACCCATTCGATCGACGTACTCATCTTGAGCGAGGTTGATGCTGATTGCACCCTCGGAAGCGACTTCGTTTGAGCCTTTTCCGCGTGTTTGGATCCCGAAACCAACACGATAAGTATTAAAGGTTGCGATCAGGAAGTCCCGACCAATGTCTCCTCACTTCATGCGGAGGAGGCGATGTCGCTGGCGGCCTTGGGTATCGAAGAGATCTCGAAGGAGCAACGACAAGAAATCGATCGAGTGATGGATGACCTCCTGCCCGAACCTTCCTGCGAGCAGCTCGGCTGCACTTATATATTTATAAGCCTGACTCTATCGTCGACGACCTCATCGGAACCGACGACGACGCTTGGAAGCTCGTTATTCCGAAGGAAGACCGAGCACGGGTCTTATCTGAATGCCACGAAGAGCCGACGGCTGGACATCTTGGCCGCTACAAAACCCACAAGCGCGCGAGCCTCCGCTATTATTAGCCGAAAATCCATCACGATGTAGGACATTATGTCAAGAACTGCCAAATCTGCCAGCAGGTCAAAGCCTTACAAGTCACCCCAGCAGGGCTGATGGGACGACACATCGTTACGCGACCATGGGAAATCGTGTCCGGCGACGCCATGGGCCCTTTCCTGCGATCCACGCAGGGCTACGAGCATTTGCTTATCTTTCTCGATCTCTTCACTCGTTGGATTGAATGTGTCCCTCTCCGTAAGATTACTGGGAAAATCATCGAGCGCCAGCTGAAGGAACGTGTGTTTCTGCGTTTCGGAATCCCCAAAAAGTTCTTGTCTGACAACGGTACGCCGTTCAAGAACAAAGTTGTCGACGACTTTTTGGACTCGTTCGGCGTGGTACACGCGACATGCGCCCCGTACTCGCCTAAGAGTAATCCGACCGAACGCGTAAATCGCACGATCGAAACCATGATCCGTGCGTTTATCGAAGAAAAACACACGACGTGGGACGCGCATGTCGCAGAGTTCGCGTTTGCCTACATTGACATTTCGGTTGCCTGCGAATACGCGAGTGTTCACTCGGTGTGAGGTTTTAGTGCAGAGATTGTCTTGGGTGGGCTAGTTCCTGCGACCACGCGTGCGAGTCTTTAAGGCCGCTCACCTTTTGACTGCACCCGAGCTGCACACTGCGCGTCCTCACGAGCCACGTACGAGGCTGAGGATATCGCCTGCAGGGCTAACGCCGAGACATTGTTGTAAGTACCATCTCGAATGCGTGTCTCTCTCGCTAGCTTTTCGTCGCTCTCTCTCCCGCTTACGCTACGTCCTAATTCTGTACCATTCTCTGTAGTGAACTCTATGCTTTTGTATATCTGCTCTCTTTTTCTGTGCTTTCTTTACCTATCGTAATCAATCCCGCTCCGTCCGGCTCTCGCCCCTGAATTTCGTGATCGCTCAAAAGCGCCCATAGGACCACATGACGCTCTCTGCGGGCTAAGGTGACAGACGCTGTACCACGCCGTTCCTGTTGCTGCCGGATTAGGCTTTGCGCAGCCTATTACGAGGCCCACTCCGAGCTGTTTCTAATTCCCTCGTAAATTATATAACGAGTGACCTGCGCTGGGTCAAAACCCCGTTATAATCTAAAATTCTATTCCCAAAACGGTTTTACTGTAACATTTCAGAAACTTTTCGTGAACTTTTAAGTGAAGTGTGACTTTTGATAACAAAATTTAAAAAAACTTTATATAGAAACTTTGCAGAATCCTTACAAAAAAAATTCTAAATGTATTTCATAAAAATGCATTAACAATTTTTATATCAAGATTCATCGAATATTGGCCAGACATTGTACAAATGCCAATTGTACAAATATATATATATATATATATATATATATATATATATATAGCATTACTGAAATTTCAGGAGGATGTTTCCTTTACAAGGCTTGGGAATCAATACTGATTGGAATGATAGGAGGATTTATAACGTGCTTTACAATGCCGTTATTGGATAAAATAGGCATTGACGATCCAGTTGGGGCATCAGCTACACATGGTTAGTATCTTATAACAATTACTATTCTAAAAGTGAAATAAAAAATTTTCCATTAAAAATGTTCGTATTACTAGGTGCAAGTGGTTTTTGGGGCGTCATTGCTATAGGCTTATTCGCTGATGATCCACATCCTCTTGACACAACCAACGGACGCAAAGGTTTGTTTAAAGGTATTGAATGAAATTTTATCATAGTAGAATATTTTATACATTTTTCATTAAAAAATTATTTGATAAAAAATAAAAAATATTATATTATTTCATAAGCGCATATTATATTTTTATTAAATTATACGCATGGGTATATAATCGAAAAAAAATGTTTTAAGGTGGTGGTTGGTATTTATTAGTTATTCAAACTGCAACAGCATTATGTTTGACACTTTGGAGCTTCATTTCATCGTTCTTTCTATTATGGGTAATGATGGAGCAATCAAATAATTTGTAATTACCTCAAATAGGATTAGTTAAAATTTAATGATTGACTTGATTTTAATTATATAGGTAATAAATAAAATTCTCCCTATCAGAATGAGCGCAAACGAAGAATTACTTGGCGCTGATTTAGTTGAGCACCGGATCCGACATACACAAGTAATTATTAATTATTTTTACTTATATATGTAAATTTTCACACTTTGTCATATCATTATTGTGATATACTCGTATTATCGTTTTCCTCTTAGGTATAGAATCTCAAGCAACAAAAATTGTTTCGAAAATGTTGATACATTTTGTAACATTTCCAACATTTCCAGCAACCAACAAAAATGTTGCAGAAATGTTGACAAGCTTGCAAAATATCTGTATTTGTTTCCCAAATAATGTTAACATAATATTTCTCGAATGCTAGTTATAATTTTTCATTTTGTAAGGCAAGCTTCATGCAATATTGCTACAACTTTTTCTTAATGTTAAACGATGTGTTTTTTACTAGAAACCAATATTCACGTAATATTTCTGCAATATTTTACAACTAAATATAAAATGTTAACTTAATATCATTGTAACGATCCTTAAAACAAATTATTTTTGTTCATTATAAAAATGTTGACTACTGACCTAAACTTCATTTGTCAGCATTTTACACCTAACTACAAAAATGTTACGTTATTGTCGGTTTCTATAAATAATGACCTCGAAAATTGTAAAAAAGGTTGTAGGAAAATGAGTCTCTGTTTTATGAATTTGTTATAAAAATGCTGTATAAATGTTCGCAAAGGTTGCCTTAAAAAATGAATAATCATAACTGAAATTCCAAAAAAATTCTGATAACATTATTTTAGAAATAAACATGGACATTTGAAACCTTGTGGCAACTTCTCCATAACAATTTGTTTGTTTGCCAGAAAAAAAATGTTACAAAACGTATATTTGTTGGATTGAAATTTGTCCACCTTTTAATGTTATTTCATGAAATTTTCTATAAATAGTTGTATTAATATTTCTGCTGTACACTTCTTGCATTGATCTTGACATATTTAGTTGTCACTATTACAGTTTGTATATATATTTTTATATAAATACATAAAAAAAGTCTATATAACGTGGATTCCGAGGCCAACGCTTTTTTATCCGTGAGGTTGGTTGAATCATCAACCCTTAAATATTTGCAGGCTAAATGTCTCAAAAACTTATATAAATGTCTGTATAAATATACCTAAAGTCCTCATAAGTGTCATTTGATGGCGACTAGGGTGTACATAAGTGTACAAGTATATCTATGTGTATGTGTATGTGTGGGATCACGTGGCTCAGTGGATAAGAGCCCAGGCTTCTGTGTAAGAGGTTATGAATTCGAGCCTCGGGCATGTGAAGATTTTCAAAAATGAAATTTTCATATGTCTGTTACCATGATTCCGGTGGTTCAGATTCCATTTTAAACTACAGGTTCAGTCATGATGCGTGTCAACCTTTATCTTCCTACAGTATTTAAAAAAATGATGTACTGACTATAGAGAACCAAGCCTAATGCGTACAGATACGTAGTTTACCTCTGAAGCGTTCAACGTGAACGTAGTTCTTGGAATTATAATAACAATAACATAATAATATATCTTGTTATCTTTTATCTTCATAGATAAAAATCAAACACTTTCATCTGTAAAAAATTGTTAAAGAACATAAGTTTTCGATGATTCTAATACATTCGCTTGTAACGGTTGGTGATTTCTTCAGAAGTGAATCGTCGTCCGTTAGCAAAATCTATATGTCACCGCTGTTTTCCTCTTTTGGCTAGCTCTGTGCTGGTCGCGCAACCTGAAAACGAGCGCGAAAGCACGAAGCAACAAAGAAAAGCGATGGTCGTAGGTTCCTAGAAAACGGTGCGAGGGAAAAGGGAACGTCGAGAATGTTCAGGATTGTCGAATAAATATGTCGGCTTAATAATATATCTTTGCCAGGTTTATTCGCTTTTTATAACTACATAGGCGCGACAACTCACGTTGGCCGAGAGATTCACGGTATACGACCTAGCCGTACGTACGCGTGAGAGAGAGACAGAAAATACAAACTTGGTCAACACGCAGCCGACGCTGTTTACAAACGCTCGCTTGTCGGAACTCCCGCTCGCAATCCGGGAAACAAAGGAGGAGACTTACACGAACGAACACTGCTGCAGACAGTTTTCTACAGTTACAGACTACTGCTTCGCTTTATATCTCGAGCCTGGTTACGCAAAGGTCGTCGCCCAGGGTTGTCGAGGCTGGGAGGTCTGTGAGTCGATCCTCGTGGATTGTGGGCGACGAGTCGGCGCTCCCTATTCTGATGGCGGCCTCCGATTCTCTCGTCCTCACACGTCGATCTTTTCTCTATTCCTTCCGCAGTCACCGTGCTCACACTTCACAAATTCTCAACCCGCGCGATCGATACGTCGCTCGATTTTTCCACACAAAATAATATAAAAGGATTCCGAGCGCGTGTTATCCGCTTGCCGGCCTCACGTGTTCTGCTGCAGCCCGCGCGTTCCAGCTATCTCTCTCTCTCTTTCTCGCTGCGCGGGTCTTTTGCGCATGGCGCGCTATTTCGAAAATCGCTCATCCGCTTCTTAACGAGCCCGCTCGTTACACGCTATATAAAAGAAGTAAATTTTTTATATTTCTTCTATTTTATTTACAATCTATTTAACATATTGAGATAGTAATTAAATGACATTACAATATGTTTATATATACATTATAACGGGGTTTTGGCTAACCCGCCGTTACAATCGAGAGGATGGATTAGTTGACAGCTCGGCTTAATAAACAGCTAATGCCACGAGGCTGGTGCACTGGCACCTGTGTGGCCAAGCCTTTTTAACCAACCATGACATCAAGCAGCCTCGTGGCCCGCGTAGAGCGTCGTAGGTAGCAGTGGCTGAAAAGCGCGAAAAGTAGTGACGAGCGCAGAGAATTCGCCAAGGATTGGGAGTGAGAGTCGGGCGCAAAGTCAAAGAACGCAGAGAATAAGAAGGATAAGAATAATTTATATAAGGTGTCATATAGAAAGCGTACAGAGTAGTAAATCGGCAAAGAGAGAGAGAGAAGCAGGCAAGCACGCAAGAGAGAGCTAAACGAGTCGGTACTTACAATGAGGCGACAATGGCCAGGCCCTCCGTACAATAAGCGTTCGCTCGCTGAACGGCGTTCCCGGACGCCGGTTGCAGTGGTGACGAAGCGTAGGACTACCTAGCGCTAGGTTCTTGCACACGCACACTGTCCTGTCAAAACGCCGCACCACTGCACGCACTCGCGAATAATTTAAGACAACGCCAGACGGAAAGTCCGAATACGCCAAAAAGAAAAGAGAAGTCAAGGAACGCTAAACCACGGCAACTGCCCAAGCAAAGACCGGATCTTCAATGCGCGCTCAAACACGTGTCGCCCGCGTTACGTCCGCCAGTCAATTACCGCGGGAGGCATCCCCACTCTTTCATCGCGCTTTTCGGCAGCGCGACCACACGCATACACGCATACACGCGGACGCGACTCTCCCTGCTTATAGGCTCGTTAATAGACATGCCGCGCTCTCTCTCTTACCTTATACTTCGACGTTGTCGGCTGCTGCAGGCTGCTGTATAATATAATGTGAATCCAAATATAGTATAAGTATATGAATTATGTATATGCATGCGTGGGAAGAAAGACATAACGAATGAATTAAATTCGTTATATGCCCCTCCCCCAGACGTTTGTAACGGGAGCGGTACCAACTCGAAAAGTAGTCTCTCTCTTGAGGAAGAAAAGGAAGGGGAAACTCCAGTTATGAAGCAAAATAGCATTTTATTTTGTAAAGTCTATACGGAAAAAAAATAAAAAAAATATTAGTACTTAAATATGTTGCTTTTTCTCTCTCTTTTTACAAGAACAATTTTAAACTAAGGTACAGTTTATACGCGCAACGGCGCGGGGAAAAACATAAGAGTGCAAAACACAAAAGAAAACTAAATAGGCACGGCCATAAACAAAAGCGAGCGCAGAAGGCGCAATCTTCTTCTTCTTCCTTTGATTAAGGCGGGGCCGTGTCGGGGTCTAGGCGCCGAAAACGCAATCTTCTCTCTTCCTTCTTGACGACAGAGAGGAGGCGGCGGTGAAATGGCCTTAGCGAGGAGCGCCTCGAGGCCCTAGCTCGGCGGAGTAATCGTACTTCGGCTCTAGGCCCTGCTCGAATTTCCATTGTTGGAAGAAATTCGGGCAGTTGTCTGACCTTGACACCGAAGTCAGATTACATCCGGAGCAGAAGCGTACTCCGTATTTTGTGGGTGTAGGGCCTTCGAATTTGCCGCAAGGCTGTTCCTTAAAACGGTTCAGCATGGCGAAATACTGCGGGAGCAGGTTTCCATTGGCCGCGCAGTACGTCCGGCGTTCGTCTTGGGCCGCCCTGGCCGCTTCAAGGCGCTGCTCCTTGGTCCATGGCCCGTTGCTCTGAGCAGCTGATCCTGCTGCATTTGGGGCAATGCCAGAAGGGCGGGCGATCCTCTGTGAGGCCGAGCCGAAAGAGGATCGTCGGTCGCTAGAGGCAGTGCCAGAAGAACCGGGAGCACCTAGTAAGGTCAAGGCCCGAAGGTTGAGGGCCTCGATCCTCTCTTGAAGGACTAAAAGCTCTTGACGCTTTTGCTCCTGTTCAGCCGCGAGGCGGGCGCTCTCATCTCGGGCCCTTCTTGCCTCTGCCCACCGAGTGGCTGCCTCTGCCAGGAAGGCCTTCTTCTCTAATTCTCGTTCGATCTTCCTGATAAAATCCGAGGAGGCGCAGGCTCTGACGCGTGCGTCAGGATGTTCTGTAAAGTTCAGAACGTCCTGAAATGCCAGGCACTCGGCCTGTTCGGCAGCCAGCCTCGCTCGGCGGGCGCTGCGTGCAGCAGCCTCCACGGTGGCCCAGCGCTCCGGCCAGCTGATGTCTTCTTCGTCCTGGACTCCCTGGGCCAGTGCCTCTGGAGTCGAGGAGGAGGCAGTGCCACCCATCAGCATACACCCTTCGACTGGGGCTGCTGCGGGAGTATCGTTGTCCGCAGGTTGGCCTTGCCTTTGTGTCCAGCACTGCAGAAGGTCGCTGATGCTGGGGACTCCGGGTGCGGGAGCGTCTTGGGGATCGCCCAATGACAAGAGCTGCTGGGCGACCCAGTTCTGGAGCCTCAGCATCGCTTCCATCGGTCTCTCCAAGGTGAGGGTGACTCTCTCCTGATTCTTCTTAGCAGGCCACATTCTCTGCAAAG